GAGTCCATGGGGACTGGGATCTCAGACCTCATAACTTACACGATTTTCTGTATTAACCATGTATTATTTAAGGTCTAAATACTGTCTGTTTACTAAGGAAAATAACACGTTTATAGCCTCCCTGATAGTTTCGGGACAAATCTTCAGACTTGAAGTAGTACGAAAGATTTTTATAAAGATTGCCGTTCAAGCGATTAAACAATTTAATATACGAGGCATATATATTTAATGATGATGATGTCAAAATAAAAGTATATGATTATGAGTATACTCATCCTATGGGATTAAACTATTAATATGATAAGTATTTTAGGATATGTATAATATTTTGGTATGAAACATTTGTGAAAACATATCGATCCAGTTAATTACAATAGCTGAAATGGTACGGAAGTATTTTCTGGTATAATCTTTATTGAATTACCTATCCACATAAAAGGATTTTTGGATCATATAAAGATCTTAAAGATTTTAATAAAAATTTTTCCTGATTGATAAACGAAAAGGAGCTTATTTTCTTAAACGCTGATCATTCCTCTGAAAAATCATTTGCAGCTCTGACCCAAAGATTGCCCCATAAGCCTTGTAATTTCCTTTTGTGGTCTGGGCCAGACTTTTCCCGGCTTTCATCGGCTAGCGCCCTCAGCATTCACCTTGGCCGTGTGCAATTGGAGGGAAAGTCGTTTGCATTAAAAACCCATTTCGTGGCTTTTCATAGCTGCTGTTGTTGTTATTGCAGTGGCTGGATGGCTGAATGGCTATGTTGTTGCTGGTGGAAACTGTTTTGATTTGCGTATGGTATGGCCCCAACTATCAGGCAAAGACAGTGGGGCGGGCCCAAAGAGACGTGGCGAGAGACAGTGGGGCGGAGCGGAAGAAACACGCACATAATTGCCTGCCATCGTAATGGATTCACGTGCCTGCTGAGCTGCTCTCGTTGTTCTTGCCGTAATGTTGTTGTGAAATATGCAAAAGTTAAGCGCCAACCGCAGGAGAGACACAGACAGGTTACACTGAAACAAAAGGGGACTGACTTTTCAGTAAAAAAACATTAAACATTTTTAATTATTACGCTATTATGTTAATTCAGATGTTGTTTTCAAAGCAAAAAGTATTTTAAATACATATAATATTTATATTTATGTACAAATAGTTCTCTGGAAAACATAGTATTCTTAATATTATAAAACTATTAATATATGGGATACGCATTGAAGGAATGAATCCCTTAAGGAAAGTATCCTAGATTCCAGTGATCTTAAATTAAAAAGACCTCAAAGTTCTACATTTTTCGATGGTATAAGTGTTCACTGTAAATTTAATTTAATAATTTAAGATAGATTTTTGAAAGAATTTTTATAATCTGAGTTGTAAGAATTTTTGTTATTCACTTTAGATACATTTTTTCTGAGTGCACACACACCTAAGCAATTAAGGAGAAAAAGAGAGAGACGCAAAGAGGGATATTCGTCGCCAGGCAAATTGCCCCCCGTCAGGGCGGTTGTACAGTGAGTGCGAAAGAGATGGGCTACCCAATCGAAGACACTGCAACAATTCGAATTTAATTGATGCCAGTCGGCGGCGGCAACGAAAATCGGAGAGTGTGCGTGCGTTGGCATTTATGAGCTGAGCTTCGCCGGAAAGAAAGGCTCCTTCTGCCACCTGGCGAACGGACAATAACTGAGCCGTTGATTGGCACTGGAGCCAGGTGCAAGAGCTCCTTTTACCTGCTCCCCCGATTTTCACCTGCCATCACACTTGATTCCAGTTATTAGTCTCGTCGCCGGGCATTGAACTTTTTCGCAGGAGGCAACAAGTGGGGGTGAACTTTTCGCGGAAAGTGTGGAAGATCCTTTAAAAAATACCTCTAGTAGTTGAACTTTTCTATTCTAAAAAATTTGAAAAATTTTGAAATTTTGAAATTTATTTTTGCAAATGACTTCCTAACTTATAATTATAATATATGGAAACTATATATCCATATAAATTTATTTTTATACTTGCTAATATAGTTTTTTAAAAATTACCATTTTACCCAAAATTAATCATACGACGTGTTGCTATAATTTCCCAAAGCTTACCAACTAAATAACTCATACGACATGAGGTCCAAAAAAAATTTAAAATTCTAAAATGATTTGCTGTGAATTGTTCCTAAGGGTATTTAAAATTGAAAATGTATTTAAGCAGTCCATTATCCCCGCCTTAAAAGTCAGTTTTAAGCAGCGTTTAACAAGCTGTAAATGCAGATCGCTCGGAAATGCCATGAAACATTCGCTGACTACCGATTTCAGCCTTTTGTAAGTTTTATCAAAGCTGTTGCATGCTGCGATTTCTGATTCCTGTTGCACTGGGGGCTTTGTTTACATTGATGTCCCGTCCGTCCCGCTGCGCTGACTGTTAGCCCGAGCGCTATTTACCGACGCTGCGGTGGCTGCTCCAGCTTTTGGCCCTCTTTGGGCGCATGCCGCTTCAGCTGCCATTGACATCCTTGTTGGCCATTAATTTTGCAGGCTTTTGCGTGGCGTAAATGGAAAATGTCCGCGCTCACTGTCCCCTTGCCGTTCTAGATAAGGAGTGCAGTGGGAATCGGTTGGGGCGCAGCGCTCGATAGCGTAGAGTTCAACCTTTGGCCTTCCCTTTGTCTCTGCGTCAGTCTTCTGCAACATTTTCACTCTTGTTTTCACTGGGCAGCACTGAGAAAAAAGCCCATTCAATTAGTGTTTCAGATTAAATTCTATTAAAAAAGAATGTAGATTAAAAGAAGAATAAATCGAAATATAAGGATTAGATATATTATTTTGATTCGTTTACTTTAGTTTAATAAAATCAGATTAGTTATTCTTGTTAATCAAACTAAAAATTAATTGGCAACAAGTTCCAATTTAATTAATCGAGATTACTTTAATAACTTCATTGGGCTTCAATTTGCCAACCATTAAAAATGTATTTACTGGCAATTATTTCGGATTGCTTTCTTTTTAGTGCATTGTTGCACTTGCGCTCATTATCGCGATTGTTCCTGCTGTCGCTGTGCGGTGGCTGTTGTTATTTACTTTTTAATAATTACAGTGCTCTGCTGCAATTGTCCCTGACCACAGGCTGAATGGGTCTGACGAAGGACCTGGGACAGGGACGGGGAAAGGTCAGCGGGCGGGACAGATAGCCAGGCGAGTTGATAAATTGCGCGCACAACACAGAGACAAAGAATGCCAGCTTACGGACACCCACACAGAAACGGACACCTCGCTTATTAGGTACAATCGGGGACATAAAAATAATTTGAACACCATACTATACCTTTCAAATAATACTAAATTCATATACGAACTGAATAATTTATTCAGAACTATTGTTCAACAACCACTCAATTTATTCAGAACTCTAGTCCTATAGATTTATGTTTGAAAATTCAAAAGCTTTCAAACGTTAGAGAAATTTCTTTAATACTAACTACGTCTTGTTTAAATAATTTCTTTATCATTAAGAAAATTTTTATTATTATAAACATACATACATACTTAAGAAATAGGATTATTTCTTGAAATTGGAAAACGATTATACAAATATTTTTAAGTATTCATAAAATAATTTTAGTTTCTTTTATAAAGTGAAAATACTAGTGGATTTCAGATGCAGAAATCTTAATGAGAACTATAAAATGATATCTGGGATATATCTGATGTTGCCATTACTTTTAGGTTCCAAAAAACATTAATTTAGGTCAAGTAATACCTTTAAGGATAAGAAAATAATTCTTCGGGTATTATAAAAACCTTAGGCAGTTTTATGACTTTTTCTAGTATTCTCACCTCCATTGTGCATCCCAGGGTCTCACGATAAGCTCGCCAACTGGCCGCCACTTTCATCCATCCCAAAACCTTCACCACCCACCATCCAACACCCACCGACCTCGCATCCTTGGACTTTTCCCAGCGATGGTCGAGCAATTTAATCAGCCTGCAGAGCGCAGAAAAGCTGATAATACCGTTATGAATAATTTACCCACATACGCACACATTTGTCCAAGGGAGGCGAAACGCGTTTTATTATTGTTTCTGGAGCTGTCTTTTCTGGTTTTATTTATAATTAATAAAGCAACGCCAGCCAAAGAGTGCAAAAACATCAAATAAAGGCACTTGTTGTTTACACTTTTGCTTTCGAGCCTTTAAGGAGGCTGCGTGCGAAACCGTTTTAATTAGGTGCGGTAACTTGTTGCGGCTGACCAGTGGAAAATGTAATTTTGGAGCGGGGAATCCCCCGAGTGTCACCTCCAGTTGGAATTTCCGCTGGCACGCTGTGCTCTCTGTCAAAATCAATGCATAGCTTCACCGCAAATATCATGAATGCAAGATGACTGCGGTGGGGTCTAATATCGAAATGTAGTCGTTACAAGCGACCGCAGTTAATGAAACAGCCAGAAATGAAAATCTACACAGTACCATTGTTTTTAATGAGCTCACCGATTTGTGAGTAACAATTTTTAGAAACCAGTATTTAGAATAATTTTTTTTTGGAAAAATTACTTATATTTCATCCCAATAATACACTACTTTTTAAAAGATACATTTAATTTTGTAACATCAATAATTATTTTTTATCGTTATTTTAGTTAGACAATGTTGTATAATATTTTTTAAGGCAAGTCGGATTTTATTAGTTGTTATTACTAATTTTTTAAATCTCGTATATAATTAATTGTGAAATATTAAAAGGAAACCATATTGTTTAATCAATAACGATTGACTAAACATATTAACGCAGTCTTTCTTAAATATGTTGGTTTTTCTTAAATTTAATTTATTTTTCTTTTTTAAATGTGTCATGAAAATATTTATAAATATAGATCGGATTTATAAATTTTACTTTCCATAGTAAATTATAGGGCATATACAAATTTTGGTTTTGGTTTTTAAGTTGATTTTAAGTCTTTCAATTAAAGGAGGACTATATCGATATTAAAAAAGGCACTTTGAAAGGGAATACCTTTAGGTATTTTCATATACTTTGGCCTTATACACACATTGATTGGCAGATTACAGTATATTGTTTTGTTCACATTTATTTCGGACTAGTTATATTCTCAGGAAGTCGTTTATACAATCGGATGAAGTTCCTTTGAACGCTCAGCTCGTTTTCGGCTGCTCCTCCTGGAGAACCACAGGATTTTGGAGCGCCTTTGAGTTGTGACCAAATCGGGTTCCAGCTGGAGGCAGTTCCTACCGTTGGACATCTTAACCAGCTCCTCCTCCACATCCTTCTCCAACTCACTGGCATTGAGTATTTGTGCGACGTGCGCCTCGTCAATTGTGCCTTTGAAGATGAGGGGATAGGGCCACTCATGGCATATCGTGGGTCCACTGTAGTCCCTCAGAGCCTCGATCATCCTGTCCAGACGCCGCATCTCCTCGTGGTCATCGTTGAATTCCCGCACCTCATCCAACAAAGCGGCCACATCGGATTCGAGCACCTGTGAGATGGAGATGAGGGTGGAAATTGGATTAGCTGGAAATCGCTTATTTTGCTCGATTTGCATTGCGGTATCCGATGACACAATGACAGTGACGGCGTTACGGTCATTGATAGCCTTACTTTCCCTCTGGCTGAGTTATCCATCCGCCAACAATCCCACCCCCTCCCATTCACGCCATTCATTCGGCGATGTTCGGCTCGGATTTCAGCTACTATATCTTCTAACAGGCCTCGTCACTAGCGTCTCTATTAGCGCCCAATTAGCAAAGCCTCGGAACCCAACCAACTAAGCTCATGTTGGGTGCATGTCTCTAAGGGGTGGGGTCTACCCCAGACACCAACTAGCGGAAGTATAGGTCTCAAAAGAAAAGCTCATGTATTCAGATGGGCTGTATTAGCTTATAGGGAAATAATATATCACAGTATATTATTTTTGAATATTAAATATTTTAATGTTCATGAAATGGGAAAAAATACATGATCTTAAGACTTAAAACTTTCTCTGAAAATGAATTGTAGGTTTTATATTTATTAAGACTTAAAAAAATGTATAATAATATATATATATTATATTATTATAAATATTTAATATAATTAATTTATATAAATTTAAACCGGAACCTATTTGTCTAACCATGACTGTGTTATACATTGCAAACCTGTTCGTTCGCCAATGACCGAACCGACATTGTCTAATTAGTGGTGCCAGTAATCACTGCAACCCCCAATAACCTCCATCACCCTCTTCCTCCCCTCTAACCCCTCCCTCCCCTCTACCCTCAACCCCTTGACCAGCGCAACATTCTAACATTTCGTTCCCAATAACTGGCTATAATTGCATTAACATGTTCCAAATAGCAGCCGCAGCTGTTAACAGAGCTACCGGGCGGCCTGTTAAACAACAGGTGATAACAGGTGGAATGGGAATGAAAATGGGTATCGCGATAAGATTTGTGAAGGCCAAAAGGGTTAATAGATATATCTGTTGATTTTTGGAGGGCGAAAAAGTTTCAATGAATCAATTGCTTAACTATTTCTATAAAATTATAAAAAAATAATATTGATATAGTCAGTTAAAGGTATATTAGTTGTGTACTAGTTCTGTTTTATACTAGGAACATTGATTTATTTAATATTGTTAAGGACTATAAATATTAAAAATGAAGTATCCGACTAGTTGGACGATGATTACTGCCATTTTTAGGTAAATTAAAAATTTTTTTTTTACTATTTCACTGGAAATATTTTTTGTTTATTAGGAAACAATTTAGATATATCTCAGCATATAAAACTTGATGATTTTTATTTTGTTTTATTAGAACAGTAAGAACTACGAAATTAGGTTAATATTAATTTCTAACTTTATTTTTATAATAATATTTAAGAAAAGGTCTTCTTTAAAAATCCTCAATAATGGAAACGACTATTTTTAGAGTGAAAGCCCGCATTTACAGAAAGTGAGTGATAACGTTTTGTAAGTGATGAAGAGATAACAAAAGTGGCACAACGTCCAGATAAGAGGGAGAATGTCTATACATCGATGGAGAAGGTTGCGTATATAAAAGATATAGCAGATATAACCGCCTCTCGATGAGAGTTTAGTACTTCTGACCAACAACAAATGCAAACAAGTGTCACTCTGTGGCCAAGTGAATTACGCCTGTATGGTAAAAACAATTTAAGGGTCAGGAATTGAGAGGGAGATGTGGTTTAGCGGGGGCATTTGTCCGTTCAATTACCAAAAACTCAATATGCAGATTAATAACACATTTCAGCACTTGGCGGACACGACCGCGCAAACTTTCAACGCTGTGGAGCAGCTGCCTCCTGCGCTGCACCGCCGCACTAATTGGCTCCGTCATCGCGACATCGGCATCTGTGATGCCCCGAATAATTTATTTTATTCTATGGCCGATCGACGGCGACACTTGTCCAATTTTCGGTTCGTTTTCGGACTCTTACATAGCGCTAATTTGTGTTTGGTTTCCGATTTTTTTTTTATATATTTATTTGCCCGTTTTTTTGTAGGGTTCTATTTTTTTTCGCGGCAGCTGGAATTCCGCTCGCGAACAGCGCTCGCCGTTGACTGAGGCCTCTTCTTTCAATGAAAAAATTGTTTACGTGCGTCAATCAACCGGGCACTTGAGTGTGTGAGTGTGTGTATCGCACACTCACGTATTCACACACACACAACCACTGAGTAGAGAACAAAGAACCAAATGAGAACATTAGTCGCCGCGGAGAGCTCTTTATCACTGCAATTTTCAGGGGACAACAAAAATATAAAACACGTTTTTATCAAATTGTTTCATTCTGTAAACAATTTTTTCTCAATACCCTGCTATGGGGTTTTTTCCTCATCAAAAACTACTTTCATTTATTTTTGATTTATAAGTGAATTTTTAATATCATTTCTTGTTAATATGGTTTTTACTGGAAAAATGTTTTTAATAAAATAGCTTTTTCATTTTAGCCATTAACTAATGACATTAAGTTATTTTTTAACAAGAATCTTCGATTAACATTTAATGAAAATTCCTATAGATACGACAAAATTCACTAATGAGCTTTAAAGGATCTATTTTTTCAAACTTTTCTGGGACTTGAAAAAAAGGCCTAGGTTTTAGGGCTTCATTAAAATAAAAATATTTTTCTTAGCATAAAATATTTTTTTAATATGCATCGTTAAATGTTAATGTGTATGATTGTTAAATCTTATGAAAATCGGGAAAGTAAAAAATCATACAAGTAAATTTTATATTTCTGTGGCATCCTAAAAACAGGCAATGCAATTCCCAACACACTTGAGCAACAAATTTCCTCTACTCACAGCCCGGAAGTATGCAACCCTCTCCGCCTTCCCCTGACAGCCCAGAAGTATGCAGCAGTTTTCCGTATTCATATGCAAGCCGCAATGATTTTAGAGCTGCTCGTTGACTTGGCTTTAATCGTGCTTTTCTTTGGCTCAACTCAGCCTCATCCTCATCCACATCTACATCTCCATTCTCATCCTAGATCCCCATCCTCAACCCATTCCGCTGAAAGCCAAACAAGCATCAGCTGCTAGCCATTAAAATTTTAATTTTGTGCACCATTTGCCACCATCTTGGCCCACTGGGCACCGATCCCATCTCGCCAACGCCATAGCCATAGCCATTGCCATTGCCATCGCCATCGCCATAGCAATCCCGTCCAAAGCCCTTGGCTTGAGCGATTATGTTGATGGCCAAGCCGGTTCTGCTTACCTGCAGGGCCACGCCCTCTTTGCCGCCGCCTCCTCCTCCTTGTCGATAATACGCTCAATTCAATTTGCATATTCAGTTGTCCAATGAAGCGCACACCACACAGCAGCGTTGCGATCCACCCTCCTTGCCAGCTTCCAATTCAATCCCGAGAAGCACCCTGCCCCAACCGGTGGCACGTCCAAGCAAACGGTCTTTTTCTGAGCCATCCAGGTTGTTGGCCACTTGAAAGCAGCCAAAATGTGCCGCTGACAGCAGCGCACGCATGAGCTGCATGAACAGCTTGCTCACTGTGAAAAAATATGGGTGAAGAAACTTTAACAAAATCTGTCATTAGTTTAACGACCTTGAAACATTAAAGAAATTGGTCTAAACTTGTGGAAAACACTTAAATCATTTATAAACCTGTCTAAAAGTATGCAGTGAAATATAGAACGTCATCTTTTGGAACAAATCTGTTGGACTAAGGATTTTTAAATATAATATTGCATACTTTTTGGCAACTTTATAAGACCTTTCTAAACCCTATGATTTTTGATGGCATTCTTGAATGTTATATATTAAAATAGAAAAAGAGGTCTTAAGTTGATAAAAAAACATTGTCTTTCGAAACGAGTACGTCTGTTTTAGAATTTTAGCTATACCTTGCATACTTTTGAGCACCATCAGATGAAATTTAAAAAACGAAATAAATTTTTTTTTAATCCTTAAATGTTTTCTTTTAACTAGTCTCTTAAACCATTTATAATCCTAGCGTTTCAAAGTTATAATTATTTTTTCCGTGCACCTTGAGCTTCCAGATCCAGCTCCTGCTCCTTGAATCCTTCCAGCGCGGAGTCGTCCTCACCTGCTGTTAGTCCATTACGTTAGCAATTTAACTTGCGCCACGTAAACATGATTATCATCTTAAGTGCAGTGTGTGTGGGCGGTGCACTGTGCGTGCGGCGGGTGGGAAAAACTTCGCCGCCAGCTGCGGATTGTAAGCTCGTTGGCTCGCTGTTTAACAAGTTTCAATCTGCTTAAAACTGCAATTAATTTAAACGCTTTCCCTCTATTTTTTTTTTGTGCCCCATTATTGCCGAAAACAGTGGTTCGGATCGCCACCCCAACGCAATCCGGATTGCAATCCGGTTAGAGTGCTCTGCTGCCCTAATTGAGCTTGTCAAAATCAGCCAGCAAGGTGGGGCGAATTTTTGGCCAGGACACCTGTGAAGGATTCAACTCGCAGGCGGCGCAGGTGTTCCGGCCAGGACTCGGATGCGGATTCGGTCCTTGTCACCAGCAGGTGGTGGTCGTTGGCTTGGGTGGTGTCCAATCCCGAAGCTGATCCCGTTGAAGCAGATTGCAGCAGATTGAACCGCATGAGGAGTCGCCCACACATCAGGCACACACATCCCTCGCTGGAATTGTGAGAAAATTGCAACAGCCGCTTGATTAATTTGGGGGCGGGCACAAAATAAAATTTGTGGGCGTGGCTGCAACGCAACACCATTTTATGGCCCCGATATGATGGGTGTCCAGAGGGTGTCGAGTGATAGAGGGTGTATTGGTCTAGCTTAAAATTAACTTCATATATTAATACATAAGGAAAATTGACCTATCTTAAATTTAACTTCATATATTGATACATAAGGAAATGTTGCAAAAATTTCAGGGTGAAGATCTCAAGATCTTAAGGAAAAGATCTTAGAAAAATAAATCATTTTTTAAGAAAGAATTCTTTAAATTTGATGTTTCCAACAATAATGTTATATATCATATATTTCTAAACCATATATTATAACCCTTAAAACCCTTACAACCAGGGTACCTATAGGTCGAAATCTCACCATAAACCTTTTTGTATCACTCTCACTTGTTTTACCGCTTGACAGGGTAAATACGAACCCAAAAAACAAGGACCAACGGCAAAGAGTTCATCTGGCAGACAGTGAAAAAAAGGAGAAAGCTCACTCACGACTACAACTGCATTTATGCAAATATTAATATAGATATACTCGCACACACACACACACACTGTCAGGGACAGACAGACAGAAAGAGAGGGCATCACAAAGTACCGTTGACAAACCCATTATCAGGAAAACAAACCGGAGATTAACTTGGCAAAATGTCTGCAGACGTCAAAAAAACCAGGAATGGCCGGCGAGAGCGAGCGAGAGGGCAGTAGTTGGATAACCACCAGATGCTGAATAAAATATGAGCAAACACACACTCACACACACAGTCAGAGATGGAAAAAGATAGAGCGGGACGGCGAGAGGATGCAGACACACACATTTGGTCCTGCAAAAGTGACACATGAGCGTAATAACAGCTAAGACCTTGCTAAGCATCCGGCAGTCAACAACCACTTGCTGGATGCCCATCCCATCCACATCCGCATCCTGCGTCCTCGTCCTCGTCCTCGTCCTGGTCCTCCATCTCGTCCTGGTCGAGCACATCCAACATCCCCTCCTGGTTTTTGGCCGCCGCTGCACTCAGCATGATTACAAATTATAACGTCTGAGCAATCGCCGCCAGTTCTGCGACTGTGTGCATAAAGGGGCGGTCCCGGTTACCGCCCATAGGAAATATAACTCCTCAACTTTTGCCAGCCATACTGGGGGAAAAGGATATCGGAGTTGCTGTGAAAAAAGGTAAGGGATAGGAAAAAATAAAGTCAATAGCAGGGTTTCAAAAAAGGAATTTTAAAAAATATAATTGTTTGCTCTCCTATATATCAATACATATTTTATTGCCTACTTTTGGGTACCTAAAAAAGTAGCTTTAAATCTTTAACATTTTTACAGCTTTTTAGTTGAACCAGAAGTCTTTTATCACATTTTTGTATAATTTTAAAAAATATATTTATTTGCTTTGTCATTTAACATAATACTTTTTATTGCATACCTAAATGCATAAAAACCTAAATAACGGTTTTCAAATCTTTTGAAATCTTTTTTCTTATAAACCTTTTTATTTGTTTAAAAATATTTTATCACATCTTTTTATTTATGTTCTATAAAATCCTTATAAAGTAGAGATAGATTTTAAATATATTTTTATGTGGTATGTCTAAAAATATCCAACAACTTTTTTAAGTGCATCTCGATGATGCCGCCGGTTGCGTTTTGATCCTTGGGGTGGGGCGGTGGCTGGCAAACGGTTAACGAATTTGTTGCACGCACCGCTCGCCAGATTCCGCTTCGTCCTTCGTCCTGATCCGCCGTGTGCCTGCTGGTGGTTGGCCAGACAGGATGCCCGGGCTGCCAACCTTGCCCCTGGTTGGTCCTGCCATCCCCTGCTCCTGGGACCTTCCAACCCCGCTCCTTCATCCCCTGCAGGCAGCCGCATCCGCTTTCCCCTGGCCCCTGCTTAGATAATTCCGTTAGCTTCCAGTGTTTTCGTTGTTGTCCTAATAACTTAATTATGCATTTGCCAGCAAAGTGCTCTAAGCGCTTTTTTTGTGTGCAGCATTTAAAATGGCGTCTGCGTCCCCGGAAGGAGAAACTGGGCAGGTTGCGGATGGGATGGGGGTCACATGGGTCATTCGTCTGGCGGCGGCTTTCCACTTAAAATCCAGGCCCAAGCTCACTGCGAATTGGGGGCAGAAGTCAAGGTGAACAAGTTTTCTCGGTATGTTTCTAAAATCTCTAGAGCTTTTAAAACAATGGCTTAATTGTGTAAAACTATGGGGTTAAATATTTAGTAATGGCTGCATAATGTGGCACTGTGTTTCTGAAATTTGAAAAGGCAAGTTTGAAGATTCATGTATCCTCATAAATAATAAGAATTGTTTTATTGCATTAATAAAATTTGTCCGGTCAGCAAATATTTCTGAGGTAAGATCTTGAAAAATGTTTAATGCAC